CTTTCCACGAAACAGACAGTTTTAAGTGCAAAAGGTGCGAAAGTGCAGAATCACTCCAGCATCCCCTTAAGGGGATGCTGGAGTGATTCTGCACTTTCGCACCTTTTGCTTAAAAGGTTACTTAAAACTGTCTGTTTCGTGGAAAGATTTGTGTAATACACAAATTAAATGGCACGTGTACAGATGATCGAAAGCAGCTTGCTATTCCGGCTAAATTAAAGAACAATATGACATCACTGAAACTAAGGCTGGATTCAGACTGAACGCAATGAGCGATGAGCGACGAGCGATTATCCAATGGGCGTACAGTCTTTATAGGAAAACTATACGCTTTCCCATATAACCTGTACGCTCATTGCATAAACGCTTGTCGCTCATCGTTTATCGCGTCCAGTCTGAATCCAGCCTCAGTTTGTAAGTCTAATAAAAAATAATAGTGAGTAACACATACATACAGTACATGTAGTATGTGTGTTGCTCACTATTATTTTTTACTAGACTAAGGCCCGGTTTCACCAACGCGAGTTAATCTAATCGGTCCGTTAACTTAACAGGGTGCCAACATAAAACTTCTTTATTAACCTATTTTCTTGGTTAATAAAGAAGTTTTATGTTGGCACCCTGTTAAGTTAACCGACCGATTAGATTAACTCGCGTTGGTGAAACCGGGCCTTACAAACTTAGTTTCAATGATGCCATATTGTTCCTTCATTTGGCCGGAATAGCAAGCTGCTTTCGATCTGTACACGTAAGCCATTTAATTTGTATATTACACAAATGTTTCCGCGAACTGACAGTTTTTAGGTTAGAAAAGTGCAAAAGTGCAGAATCACTCCAGCATCCCCTTAACGCTACAATTAAAAAAAGTCCCCAAAGTAACTAGTTTGACGCTCAAAGTGAGCGTCAAGCGTCAGCATGAAAATGCACCTATACGTAGTGTGACACGGGCTTTAGGACCGGTTCAACCATAGGTTTGTTTTCTGTTCCTGCACTGGTGAACTGGTGCAGTAAGCTAGAATGAGAAAAATATACTTGTCGTACTCTAATTTATTGCACTAGTTCACCAGTGCAGGAACAGAAAACAAACCTCATGTCTCCGATTCATTTAATCGGCCTTTAGTTTAAAGCTTTGTTTAAAGGTCGACAGCAGCACATTGGCGAGCCCTCGCGGAATGGATTCGTTTTTATCGTAGTGCGGCCAAGATGGACCATTTTTCCCCAAAAAAATCACTGTTTAACGACAAGAAGACGATGCTACTACAAAATTACAAATATCACAGTTAAAGTACGATCTTCACTTCATTTGGCCGTAATACAAAAAATACGAATCTGTATTTCCATTCAATTATCCCGCAATCTTCGGCGCGCACCTTGTTGATGATGAGTTTCCACCACCTCCTTCCGCCAACCATCTCGCATCTTTTGTCACGATCCCCCTTCCCGCTGCTTCCCGCGCCGCGAATATTCAGAGAGAAAGGACGAGAGGGTGGGGGAGAGAGCTTATATAAGCGGACGTTGGCTCATTGCGATCCGCGGCCGCATTGCGTGAGACGACGAGTCGACGTCCGCCCCGCCGTCATCAGTCACGCAGGTTATGTCGCGCTGAGTCCGACGGCGCGCATATCGAAATCGCGTTGAAAATTCGCACGTGGAACCGCGCGTGAATCAATCTCGGCCCGCGACTCCGCGTGCGAGAGATCGAACCGGGATCGAACGTAGGATCGCGCGACGCTCCGTCCTCCATTAGGGAAATCGCGTGCACACCCTCGGGAGTCTTTTTCTCGCGTGCTGCGCAACGGGTGCCGCTAGGAAACAACGCCGGGTGTACGAGGATCCGCGTCTTCCTTTTCGGCGGACGTGATCGCGGGGAGGAGGGAAAGAAAGAAAGAGATAGAAAAAAAGAGCCGCGTCCAGATCGACGCGCGAAGAAAAAGGCGACGCGACAGAACAGACTGCGAGATGTCGGCGTCTCCCATCGCCAGACAGGCGACCCAGAGCCAGAGCATACCATCCAAGAGGGTCGTAATTCACGATCCCAACCAGCTACCGGCCGACTACTCGTCCACGCCCGGAGGCACGCTTTACTCCACGACGCCGGGAGGTCAGTGTATCCGCCTTTTGCGCTTCCCCTGTCTCGATGCTCCCCCTCAACCTCTCTCGCGCGCGCGCGTCTCCGAAACGCCCACAGCATCGCGGAGCTGTCGCCTGCTCCGTCGCGGAGAATGCAAGTTTACGAGTATCGTTCAGCGGCAAGTCGCGCCGCGATCTACGCCGATGAAATGATACGACGAGCGAGACAAACGAATCTCTTTCGTCGAGTCACGCGCACCCGGCGCGCGGTCAACGTTTGCAAAAGTTAGGCAGAGAACGATCCGTAAACGCTCGAGCCCATGGTATAAAAGTACAAGTGAAACATTGCGCGGGTAACCAAGTTTTGGAGCAAATTGCCCATTAGTTCTCGCCGCGTTTCAATCGCAGTGATTTGCAGTTACGAAGGTTTGGGGCAAATTTTTGTTCGGTCACGAGTGCGCACCCACGAGAATGTCACACCTGGTATTCTTGCGTCATGCTCGAGACTGTCTTTTGTCAGTCGTAGACTTGAGGCGAGGCAGAGAAAAACTTAAGTCGTATAAAAGACTTTCACGACTTCTATCGCAATCAAATGTGAGGAGATAATAGACTGCCATCCCATACAGCACGCATGTCTAAAAGACATCTTTAAGACGTCTTTTAGATATGTATGTCTGCTGTATGGGATTGGTCACTTTCTTAAATCTCACATCTTAAAGATCTCAAGAAGACCGATAACACACTAAATTTACAGACACCGAAAACTTAAATGTAATATGCATGTATGACTGTGTAATCAAAACTGTTTAGTTCGCAATATCAGTATTGTTCTTAAGACATGGCTAACAAATTAGCCCAGCTACCACAGCGCTCACACGTATACATATATTTTATAACTCGACTTTGTCTTATTTGACGACGATGACTGACCCAAGTGCGTTACTTAACTTTTAACTAAATCCTTTTTACTTATTAACCTATATTATTTAATAACTGCGTTGTTGTTGTTGATTTGCAGTATCACTCGAAAAGGACCCAAAAGAATAGAGTCGAAACGTTGTTTAATATACTGATTAAATAATTAGCCAGTTGACTACGAGTTTCCCGTCTCAACATAAAGATCTCATTATAGACGCCGTATTAAGCGCTTACGGGTTGCTCTCCACCATCAGCCAGAAAGACCTGCGTCCACGGTGCTAGAACTTGGTCCAAGTTCTTTAGACTCTTAAGCCCTTAAGAAAAAGAGGAGGGAGAACCGAATCTCGCGATTCTGCCCGACCGAGTCCGTCTGCGACCGCGACAAAAAAGTGCGCACGTGCAAGACGTCGTCAAGGCCATTGGTATTTACGCGCAGCGCAACATGCGATTGTATATCTCTCTCTTTCTCTCTCGCTTTCGTCCGCGCGCACGCAGACGCGTGCACGACTCGATAACACCGACGGTGTTACGTAATTTCGCGCGTTTCGGCGCGAGTTTGTTTGACCGCCCGTCTGCGTAGAAAATATCAGAGACACTTCTGCGTCGCACGCGAAATTTTATATCCCTCCCGAAGTGGCCGATCGTTTATCGGTCTGCGATAGCGTGCGACCTTGACGTTAATTCGCAACCGATATGCGGAGCGACGCCCGACGGATCGTTAGTCAAAAATCTGTCGTAACTTTCAAGCGTCCCCTGCCTCTTGCAATCTATTGAATTCCACTCGTTTTCAACGCGTGTCGATAAACTTACAATTGTATTAACATATTAATTAACTCACTTTAAAAAAAAACTCCAACTGCATATGTAAACAGATAACAGCGCGTCAAGTATGTAAATCCAGGCAACGTGACGTTTACGTTTTTTTTAACGTTTCCTTAGGAACGTATTCCGTAAGAAAACTTTCGCTCCGTAACTGTATAGCCTGATGCACACTGCGCTGTTTGCGTCTAAAAATATTCAACGCCTCAAGAATTTATCGACAACACACGATTGTACAATTTATCAACTTCCATAAAGTTTTCAAACATTTATTGACGACAAGATGTTTCTAGACTCAAAGGGCACGTTGTAGATCAGGCATCAAGCCCTTTCTTTCTCTTGTTCTACGTCACTACATAGCGCGTGGAGACACAGTGCTCCAGAGCACTTTTACCGAATAGATCGTTTAATCTTTATAACTACCGCTCGCAGTAAAAGCCTTCGTTCCTACTTCCCCGAAAGGAATGACGCAAAAGCTGAGCAATATCGAAAAGTGGAAGATTCTATTTCCCTCAAGAGGAGAGAATTATTTGTAAAATCGACGAAGGTAAAACGAACGCGACTCAAATGACCCACCGTTGTCCGCTGCCACGTCTCAAAGGGTTAAACTTATTAAGGCCGGAGTCGAGACCGCCGGGCTCGGCATTGAACGCGAGATATTGAATGCGGGTACTACTTACTGCGTTTTTAGCGAATGATAGAAGGATAACTTATCGCCTTTATGTTTACACTTCGCGCCGTGCGCGCGTCACTGCAACCGGCTAGGAAGAGCGAAGAGCAGGCGAGAAGGCAAGTCGTGAAGCAAATATGTAAAGCTACTACGCAAAAGAAAAAAAAGGGGACTAAAGTTATACCGGGTGCCCCGTCGCTTCTCCTTCGACCCGCTTGCGGATTCCTTCGTCAATTTCGAGGCTCTCTTTCTCCCTCGTAGTTTTGAGTGACGAATAACGTCTTTTTTAGTCACTAACCGCACGGAGAGAATTTTCCTTTAAAATTTACCCTGAAATTCATGTAATCGTGGGACAACGTGGCAAGAACTTCATGGTTTTCTGAGATTTTACTATAGTAAAATGCATGGTAAGATAAAAAAACTCGTAGTTCTTCAAAATACCATGTTGTCCCACGATCAACATGATTTTCAGGAGAAATTTGATGAGAAAATTCTCTCCGTGCGCCATTAAGAGACAATTACAATTTACTTATCAAATAATATTTTAAATAACAAAAGTCCTGCTCTTCAGGCTTAAGTTCAGGCATCTGACGTTGAAAATTAAAAGAAAGATTATGCAAAAGGTCGCATCGCATCTTGCAGCAGGGCTCGAACGATTTATCATTTCGATTTGAAAAATTGTCGGAGAAATCGGATAAGACACTTTAACGTTCGAAGATGATGTTTTGTTGTCAGATATTTCTTTTTATCGATAACTAATCTCTATTATCTTGTTTGCTGTTGTCGAAGAATCCGCGGTTATTAAACGATACAGCAATATTGTTCTTTTTTAAAATACGTATTACGAAAACTGTAATCTGAACCATCTGCTTCTATTTTAACATTTTGTAATGATAAATCGTCCCCCTCGAGACCTCGATCTACAAGCATCGCGTAAATGAAGACATCCTATAAATTACGAGAAGTTACAGATGTGACCAACATACTGCTTGAAAGTATCGATAAACAATCGTCTTTCCGCGATCCCGGATTTCTACATTTTCCAAAAAATATCCCCCCAGTCTTCGACTCGAGTTGAAAATATCCGAACACGAAATGAATAAAAAAAATCTGGCCGAGATGTAGATAATTCACGAGCGACGTGTGTGGCGATTCAGTTGGCTGCTTCTCTCTTCCCTTTTTTTTCCCTCCCCCTCGACATGATCGCGAGTTTCGCTCGCGAAAACGGGATCGTTGGCGAAGCCGCCGGGTACAAACCAGGTGAACCAGGTCGCGTGCACTCAACACGCTTTTGTTCCGCGCCCCACGTTTCCTGGGGCGTTAAACAGCCAAGGTCGAATTAATGCGTGCGCGCGCGATACGTGCCGGTGCGTAATCGGTGACGCGTAATGTTTATCGCTCGCGCCGCCACGCGCCAGCGCGGCGCGCAGAAAGTCACGGTGATCTGAAAAACAAGAGTAGACAGCGGCGAAAACGGCTGGACCTTCGAGATAACTTTAGCCGCGCGACTTTGCTAAGCGAGCCTCGTGAATCTCGCTAACATCTCATCACGTAAACAACGGTAAACGACGGTCAACAGGCAGCCGTTTATCACAGATGGACATGCGCTTCTGTGGAAACGCTACGAGACTGCGATGAATTTCCCCTCTCTGTTGTTACTCCGATTGGCAAATCGATTCCTGTCGAACTGAAAAGAAAGACGCTACTCAATCGTAGGAAGTTGTGGGACTGTCAGGTCCGGTTTCACCAAGCGTCGCTTAATCTTAGTTTAATTCATTGTCTTTCTCTGCAACAGTTGGAAAGAGACAAAGAACGAAGTAAGCTAAGCTTATAAAGTTGAACTACTGTAGCGAACCGAACTTTAAGGTCCGAAGGACCTTAAAATCCGGCTTCACTAACGTCGCTTAACCTGGGCCGATATTCATAGTCACATCTTATATTTAAGACTCTCTTAAGTTCATCCTAGGACGATCTGAAGTATAAGATATGGCTATGAATAACCGTCCTTAATTTAATTCATTGTTCGTCTTTAAGGGAATAGTGTGAAAGAGACGAAGGATGAATTAAACAAAGGTCAAAGCGACGCCGTTGAAGTCAGACCTGATTCACGCGGCTTCTGATCCAGTTGGATTGTACTTACAATTCTTTTCTACGTATCTTTCTTTTTCTTTCCTTTTTTTTCTACGTGGCGCGTGTCGTTGAAAGAGAGAATTTTGCGAAATAAATTCTATTCCAAGCTTCTTCTTAGAGTACAAATTTATTTCGTCTCTTACTACAAAAAGAAAGAAAGAGAGAGACGAAACAGAGTTCATAAAATACAACGAGAGACCTACGGACTGAAACGTACAATGCTTTGCAATTTCTAACGCGTCTCGGTTGACTCTCCGCACGTATCTCCGTACTTTCTGCGATTATGTATTTGCTTTGGCATCCTCGCCGACCCTTGCACTCCTTTCAAGTTAGGTAGGTGACAGTGTACAGAAATACACTCATATAAATAGGCGGTGTGCGCCGCTTTTCGTATAACTGTCTGACCATTGTGTCGTTTCTGCGTGTCATCGTTGCCCCGAAGCCGTGGGGATTTTTCTTGAAAATCGGTTCACTGTCCCACGCACTATTGTAGTCAGTCTTATTTACATTTTTCTCAGGACCGAGAGGAAAAAAGCTACAATCGATATCTGTTTAGGGATCTTTTCTGCCGCCGAATCCTAATTTTCCAACTAAAAGTTACGATTATCGAAGCTGCGATAAAGCCAGCTTAACTTTGTCCAGCGGTCATTGAAGTATCGTGGTCTTATCAGACGATTCTTAATCAGAAATAACTGCGACTTCAGATGTAACTTGTATATAACGGTATCAATTGCGCTGCAACAAAGACGTAGTTTTTTTTATCGCATATATATATGCCTCATCGTTTTATCGATTCATTTAATATTCGATCGTAAAAAAAACCCGGAAATTAAGTATTTGATTGACACGTTAAACGCTTTACAAAAAAACAGATTAACGTTCAAGAATTTATAATGCAAGTTTAACACATACCGGAGCAAAACTTCATTCCAATCGTGGATTCCATAAATTATATTTTGCAATTCTTCGCAGGTACTCGCATCGTATACGAACGCGCGTTCCTGATGAATCTGCGGAACTCTCCGATATCGCGAACGCCGCCGCGAAATACGCTGACCATACCGTCAGAGTTGCTGAAGGGCAGCACACCGGCCATCACGAGGGATCCCGCCAAAAATATTAATAAAGGTCCGCTTCATATTTGCTAGTCGATTCTTATAATCAGGTGGACTCCTGGCCTTTCTCATGGAAAAATACAGAGTGGATAAATAGTTAATCGTTAAACACTCTACATTAATTAATAAGATCATTCTTAAATGTCGCCAGCAGTAGAGACCCTGTAATCAAAAGCTGGTCATAAGAGAGTTCGTCGAATTCCTGCGAGTGAGAGAGAAACATAGGCTGTCTCACTTATCTACGATCGTAGAATCGTAGGAATTTGACGAACTCTCTTACGGCCAGTCTCTGGTTACAGGGTCTCTAGCCAGCAGTAATTAACACTAATATTGATATATATATAATATTGATTGGAGAACACTTTTCTCACGTTTGCATAACGTTACAGATTCTCTGGTGATCGAGGAATCCGCGGAGCAGTTCGAGATGGACATGTGAGGCAGATACAACGTGTACGTCGTTCAGGACGATTGAAATGTGTTCGTAGCCATGCCCGAGAGTATTGCCGATCTTTTTTGCGGCAATCGCACGGGGTACATGGCTGACACGCCCTTAATTCTGTGCCTTTTTTACCAGTGGTCTTACTAAGAATCATGAATCATGAAGGATTTCTGTCCTCAAAAGGCCATATCTTATTCATATGTATTGTATACAAATCATTTAATTCTCGACGCTAGTTCTTGGCCAATGTAATACGTATATTTGCATATAAAGAACAGCCGTGGATGTGAAGGTGCTTATGTCTACGCGACATAAGCGATCTCTTACATGTCTTCCTCTTTTTTCTAGACGGCCAAATGCGACGCTTTTCGTAACGTGTTTCGTAAGGAACTTGTATCTGTGAATAAATGATACATACGTTTTATACATACATAAATTTTACTCTTGTTATTCCGTACATTGTACAAAGACGTTTCACTCGTATGAAATATGCGAGGATTATATCGAACAGTGAGAAGTATCGTAAAACTATATTTTTGAGCAAAAGTATCTTGTGATAGTTCGAGATCAATCAAGCTGTATGTATAAACTGCGTAATAAAAACTTTGTACAATACAATGAAAATTCATATGTATTTTTGTCCAAAGTTTAATTTTTACCTTAAAATTATGTAAGAAACTCTATCAAGAGCTTTGTGCTTTAGCTCTAAACTGTTGCAACGTTTAAAAAAAGAATAGTTGCGCAAATCTCCTGCAAATAATCTCCTTGTAACTTTGTAGTTACAATACTGTTCAAATATCTCCGAAAGCTATTAAGAAAACGAGTCAGTGTGGCAACGAGGATAAACGTCGTTTGCGAATAAAACAATTTATAACGATTTAACATGATTTTTAAACTATGCAATACGCAGGGTTGGAAAGTACGTTATTTGTAACGAAGTTACAGTTACTTTTTTTTGGTAATTCTAACTTCGTTACTTTCTCTCCATCCGTAACTGTAACTTAACTCAGTTACATTTTTTCAATTACCAGTATCTAATTTAACAGCTACTTTATATATACTTTGAACCTTCACAGATCGCATCAGGCCTTGCATTTACGCATAAACGCCTTTACCGGCGCTTTACAGGTGAAATGCAGATTTGATATTTTTCTTTTCATTGCAAGAAAGTAATCGCAAAGTAACGATTCGTTACTTTTTAAGTGACTGTAACTGTAACGCGTCGCTTTTCAGAATTGGCAACTTGCAACTGTAACTAGTTACATTTTTAGCGAAGAAACTGTAACCGTAACCGGATATTTTTATAACGGTAGCTTTCCCAACCCTGGCAATACGTCATGTACGCTCTTGCAGCGAATTCAATCAGTTGTGCTAAAGACTGTTATATATTAAGACAGTAAATACTAAGATTCTTTGGCAATAGAGATACTAGATATTTCAACGAAGCGCTTACATTATTTTGCGTAATAAAAATATTACATAAATTCATATATAACAATCTTTACAAGCAGTAGACATTATTAAAATAGTATTAAAACATCAAGTACACGTTTAATTATAAACTTTATCACAGGACACGTACGTGTCGCTCAACTTCTCCCGACACTCATGCGGAGTTCTCTATCTCGGATATCCTCTCCAAGATGATTGTCGCAACGTTGACCTTGTTTCCTTTCGCGTCGTAATCATCGTAGTAAATCAACTCGCACAAATCTCTGGTTTCCGGCTGGCTCTGCAAAGTGTCGTGCAGCTTCCTGTAGAACATCTCGATGACCTTGTGCTTGTACCGCTTGTACACCTCGGACTCTAAATGATTGTGCTTCTGTACCTCGTAGTACGTGAGCAAAGGCGACGCGCCCTCCGCCACCACGTAGACCGGGTCCTCGCTCGAGTTCCTCCCACCGGGGTATATCTTGTAGACGTGGTTGCGGTACGTTCTGCCGATGTTGCCGGCCCGGTTGCGCTTCTCCTCCTCCAGCTCGCGCACGTTCTCCATCCACTGAAAGGACGCCTCCTTCAAGTCCGGCGGGATGTATCCGGACGACGGGATCAGGATAAACAGCTTGTGCACCGGGAACCTTATGTTATGGGTGTCCTCGAAGTTCTCGATCTTCTCGACGATACCCTTCTTGGAGGTGTCGTCGGAGGTCGGCAGCATCAGCCGCAGGTAGCCGTAGTAAAAGCTGTACGCCATACCTGTGCCGCAGTCCAGGCCCTTCAAGTCACCGAGGTCAGCCAGCGAGCCCACCTCCCACTCGGCCAGGTTGCACGTCCTCAGCAGGCAGTAGGAGAATATCAGGAGCGGCACGCAGACGTAGGGGCCGAAGTCCCAGGCGTAGCTGAGCGGGCACCTGCGCAGGGTGGCGGTGAGTCCGAGGAAGAGGAGCGCGCCGACGGCGACGATCGTCGCCGACGCGGTGTTGAGGGCGAAGTGATACCGCGCCACCGACCAGAAGCTCTCGCCGGGCTCGGTGGCGTACGTGACGATCGTCTGGCAGAGGCGCAGCGCCAGGTCGCAGATCAGGAAGACGACGAGGAAGACGGACGCGACGAGGATGGTCGCGACCACCGACGCCATCGCCCGGTCCTTCGTCGCCCTGTACACGGCGAAGGCGTAGACGACGGCGAGGACAACGCCGTACGCCAGGTAGATCCTCATCTTACGCTCGGCCGACGAATACACCTCGCTCTCCATCCTCGCCGGGCCGCGGTCGTCCACCGAGTCGCGTCAGGTTCTCACGGTCGCCGGGTGCCGGGTGCCGGGCCGCTGCGGGACGAATCCGCGATAAACTTCCGAGAATCGTCGTCCACCGCCGCCGTGGCCGAGCGCCACACCCGTCTGACCCGCCTTCCTGTCCCGCGCGAATTCTACGTATCGAAATGCAGACCGCAGAGAGCGAGAACGGTTTAAAGGCTGGTCCAGACGCGAGCTTCGCGTAATCGCGCGCCAACGCGCCGCGACCGGAACGACCAATCGCGCGTCAAAGTCACGCGCCGTTCGCGCGCCGTCGAACGCGCGCCATTGGTCGACTTGGTTTTTTCTTTATCTTTTTTTTCTTCATATGCATATGCATCGCGCAGCTTAACGATCGCCGGCCAACCGGACGACGTTTCTTTTTCTTTAACTTACTCGCGTAATTAGCGAGCGTTATGGAAACGGCTAATTGTCGTTATGTGACGTTGTATCACGTTATTGTAAATATTCGCAGCCCGCGACGCGCGGACACGTTCTTTTCTTCAATCGCAAGATAAAAATGCGCATATCTATGTACATACTTATGAATTACGTGGCTATCTAGTTATACTCCTCTCGATTCTGTGAACTACGTCGCTATCTTCGTTCTTGCCTCGTAGTGCATTTTGAGAGATAAAATGTACATTCCGCGAAATACGAATATCAATTTGAAACGATCGAGCGTAGATCGCGAGTGGAATACGTTCTCTTCTTTAACCAGGGGATAATATATCCGTATCTCTCGCTTATCGCCGCATTTGTGAGTCGCGCTATCATCTACTCTCGATTCTACGAATTGCATCGCCATTTCCGTTTCTGCCTCTTCCCTAGTAGCACATTATATATTGGCGCGATAATGAGAAATAATGTAAGATAATAGTATTCCCAATGTTGGTCCAATATTGTGAGATGGACGCCTTCTCTTATTTAGCCAATATGTCCAGACCAATATTCTTATTGCACTGTTCAATATTTGCCAGTGCACTTCCGATATAAATATAATATTATACGGGGTGTTTTCATTTTAAATGATCCACGTAAATATCTCCAAAGTTGTTTGGTTCGAAGGGGGACACAAGGTGGTACCGTTGACTTGACCTTGGATAGTCATTTGAAGGTCACCTTCAATTTTTTAAATGGAACCCCCTATTGTTTATTATACTATCTTATTCTGCTAATTAATACGAACAGCTTTTGTCTGAAACATTGTTCGATTTGCCTAATACTTTTTGAGATATTCAAGAGAAAAGTGATAACTTTTTCAACGTTCAGCTTATGGTATCTCGACAACTGTTTGTCGGAGGGAAAAGTAGTACAGGACTTTTTTACTCGATTTAGTCTCAGGAATATGCTGTTGCAATGGTGTTTCAATTATTGAAGACTTTTGTGTATTGTAACACATAAAATCTACGTACGCAAAAATTTACGTACATCGAGTATAGATTACAGGTGGAATACATTCTCTTCTTTAATCAGAAGATAATATTCGTATCCCTCGCATATCGCTGTATTTATGAATTACGTTATCGTCTCCTTTCGATTCTATCTGTTACGTTGCTATCTTTGTTCTGTCTCTCGGTGCGTGTTGGAGATAAAGGTGCGTCCGGAGAGCTCATTATCAGCGCTATTTAGCGTCAAAAGTTGTCATTCTACCCTTGTTGCTCATTACGTGTCAAAGATAGACAACATTTTCAGCGTTAATAGCCCGCTCCGGGAAGGTACTTAAAATGTATATCGCGCGAAATATGAATATCGATTCGAAACGATTGAATGCAAATTGCAAATGGAATACATTCGCTTCCTCAACCGGAAGATAATACCTGCGCGGTGAGAATTTTCTCTGAAAATTTACCCCGAACATCGTGCAATCGTGGGACAACGTGGCATTTTGAACTTTCCGAGATGCCACGTTGTCTCACGATGCATAATTTTCAGGATAAATTTTAAGAGAAAGTTCCCTCCGCGCGTATTTCTCGCACGTCGATACATTTATAAATTACGTTGACGTCTTCGTTTCTCCCGTTCTTAGCTCATTTTAAGTAAAATGTGTACACATTTCGCGAAACGCGAAGATCGATTTAAAAAAACGAGAGCGAAGGCAGATTCCAAGCGAGAGACGTGGCTCGACCCGATCGACTTTTGAATAGAATTAGATATCCATTTCTCGCGTCACCGAGCGCGCGCGGGGGACACAATCGTGTCCTTTTTTTACCCACGTGATCTGCCGGGCAAGACGCGATCCTTGACGCGCGTCAAGGAAGCATTAAATATTTGTACCGAGCGGAGCGAGCGGAGTGTATCAAAGGTCAGTCCTTTTAAAGCCCGTATCAGACTACGGATTGAGATTGGGATTAGATTGAAATTTGACCAATCAGAGTAAAAGTTACTGAACTTAAAATTAGTAAACTTTACTGTGATTGGTTAAATTTTAATCTAATCCCAATCCCAATCCGTAGTCTGATACGGGCTTTACGCTCTTCCCGGTTCCGATGTCAAAAGAGAGGCGCCGCGCGATCTCTCGACACGGTGACCCGTTTGGACCCCGAGGTGACGCTCTCCCAGCGAGAAATTATTCATCGGTCGATGCCGAAACGACGTCAAATTGACGCCGACGAGTCGTTTCTCGCTGGGCCGTGCCATTAAAGAAGAAGAAGAAGAAGAACACGGCGACCGGAGGACGATATCGAACTCCCGCGAATCGACGGGCAGGCGCCTCGGATTTGGCGGGAAGACGGTTCGCGCTCGCGCGCGCCACTGCCTTTTATCCGCCGACAGCCGTGGAGGGGGAGGGGGGGGGAAGAGAGGGAACGGAAAAGGCGCTTTCCTCCTCGCGTAGCACCTGCCGGCCCGCGCCGTGGGACGTGGGACTCCTCGCGATTATCGTAATCGCGCGGTCGTCGCGTAACGGTTCTCGGGCGCAGCAGCTGCACAGAGAGAGAGAGTCCCTCCGAGGGAGGAAGCCTCCTCCGCTTGGTAACGCGCGCGGAGAGAGAGAGAGAGAGAAGCAGCGCCGCTCGAGACGGGGGCCGGCAGGCGGGGAGGGGAGCGCGGCGCGTGTTGCCAGGTCGCGCGGAGCGCTGTTAACAACGCGAGCGAGCGAGCGAGCCGATGGACCGACCGCAGCACGGTCGGGAGACATCTACGATCGATAAAGGCTCGTAGAGAGAGCCCGAGTCGCGTCGCGCGACGGAAAATCGCCAGGCAGAGAGAGAGAGAGGGAGAGAGAGAGAGACGGAGTGGACGATAAAGACGGAGATCGGCCGGCGAACGAGGCGAGCGAGCGAGCGATCGCTTTGAAACGACGCGACGAGCGTCTTGGCGATTTTTCGCGACGCAGGCAGGACGGTGGTGGCGGTGGCGGCGGTGCGGTTGATGGTGGTGGTGGTGGTGGTGGTGGTGGTGCGCGGCGCCGCGCGATTAATACAATCGGCAGGTGATTTCTCGTCGCTGATTAAAGCGCCATGTCCCGCGATGGACCAATCAGCTGCTTGGTAAACCGCCGTCAGGCCTCGAGTCTGTCCACAGACGAATGACAACAAAAGAGACCGATAGAAGTTCGCGCGCGCGAGAGTGCGAGCCGAGGCCGGAGAGCGCGAGCCCGAGTCTTTTCCGCACGCGAGTGTGTTACCCCCGCGCGCAGCGCCCGTGGAGGCCCCCGTGCGCGTACGACACACGTCCCAGCCGCCGCCGCTGCCGCCGCCGTCGCCGCGGCCGCTTTTTTTTCCGTTTACCCCCCCGTGCGTAGCGCCGCCGCCGAGTAACGTCGCTTAACGCCTGGCTGGTGGTGAAAGGTGCACACGTTGAGGAATATGAAGAGGAGAAATGTCGAGTGCGGTAAGCTTCGGAGGCCCTTGAAACGCAACAAGCTCACCGAGGGGATCTACGGAAGGTAAAGCTTTTCCCACGCCGACCGCCATATGCGTAACGCATACGTACGTACACCTACGTCGGGGAATGGCCGTTTCCTCCGTAATCAAAAAAACGTAACCAAAACCTCCCTCTCCCCGCCCCTCGGGGCCCGCGGGCCCCTTGCCGCGCGGGAGGACGCGAGTGTCGCGGGTCACCGAGGCCGCGACGACAGTGACATTAATAATGACGACGATGATCGGGGATTATTATTATGATGATGTTGACGACGAGATCTCGCGCGCGCGAACGCCGAGCGACCGCGACGCCGAGTCGACGCCGCTCTCGTCCCGCGCTTGACATTTACCTCCGGGTCAGATATCCTTAGCCGTACTCGCGTCTCTCGCTCTCTCTCTCTCTCTTTTTCTCTCTTTCTCTTTCGTCCCTCTTGCCCAAACATCTCTCCACACGTACGCACGCACACGCGCGTGCAGCATCCCACGTTCCGACGACTCCATGTGCCGCGTGCGGCTCGCTCGACCGCTCGCTCGCTCGCGGGCACCCGCGATAACGCGGTACAGGCAGACGCGATAGCCGATAGACTCGTCCCTCTCGTCTTCTTTCTCCGCTCTCCGAGAAGAGAGAGAGAAAGAGAGAGAGAGCGTGAAATCTCGGGCGTTATGTAAGCCCTCCGGATGTTTTCGATAACACCGATGCTCCGGTATCGCGTTGTCGCGCGGTCCAAAACATGTTTATCCCGAGAGACGGTACCGTCGACCCTCGCGGACGCCGATACAACGCGAAGCGCACGTTGAATCGCCGCGAATTGGAATCCGGCCTGCGGAACACGTCCGAGTAATCGCCCGCTTGTTTCTCTCTTTCAGTACCTTGCTTTATCTGAAGTTTCTTCTACTATGGGCCATGGTGATCCTGGCAGACTTCATTTTGGAATTCCGTTTTGAATTTCTGTGGCCGTTCTGGCTGCTCCTCCGAAGCGTTTACGATTCCTTTAAGTATCAAGGCTTGGTAAGTGTGCGCGACTGGTCCAGCGCGAAGCGCCGCACGGAGATCTCACCCGTTCTCTCATTCCCTTTCAGGTCTTCTCTGTATTTTTCATTTGTATTGCACTCACGTCCGACATGATTTGCTTCTTTTTCATCCCCGTGCATTGGCTGTTTTTCGCTGCCAGCACTTACGTTTGGGTGCAATACGTCTGGCACACAGGTACGTGGCAAATGAATTTACTCTGAAATACGGACGAGGGCGTGCAACGTGTGTCTATCGAGGAATGTATCGTCTCTCGTGCGATCCACGGCACGCCTGGAAACTAAAACGCTGCTCCTAGGAGCCTCGACCTCTAAATGGATACAAAGAAATGATGGAACATTCATATTTGATACAGATAAGGGAGTGTGTCTACCAACTGTGATGCTGTGGCTACTATTTCTATATATAGAAGCAGCAGTGCGATTGCGTGACTTACGTCATATGCCATTTCACCTAGACCTCTGTCGGCCGTTTGCAGCACATTGGTAACAGTTTTATCATTATTTTTGCAGACAAGTGTAACATGAAAGCGTTAGGCATATGTGTGTTAGAATAGTCTATCGACGTCCGTTGGCTCCAAAGTAAATTTTTTCCGCGATATGTATCTTCCAGCATTGGCTATCCTGTAGTTACATTGGGCTTTGGTTTCAAGAGCTATGTAGGCTACAGAATGAGGCAGGTTAGTGTCTCGACAGTCTTACATGTGTACCGTAAATAAATCCGTTGCGCGTCTCCGCACGGTGTACAGTAGTTGCGTGTCTCAATTCGCGTTTGCTCTCGACAGAGAAAACAGAAAGACGTGGCAAAGGAGAACGAGTTCTATCTACAATTACTGCAGCAAGCACTGCCTCTAGAGCAACAAGCTATGTCGATGCAGCAAATCCAACCGCAGGTGCAGCCACAGACGCAACAGGTCACTGCGTCGTTGGAACAACACGTGAAAACGCAAGCACACAAATTGAGTCCACAGTATAACCCGAGCCCTGAAAAAAGCAGAGGTAGCTTGTATTTATTATCAACTACTGTCCCGAAGGGGGTGCCTGCGATTGCCCGCGATTACACCGCATTTTAATACTTGTTCCTTTGTACTCTTTCAGAGGGCAATAACAATTCCATAGAAACGAACGTACAAAATGGCGGAGTACACAACAGTAGCCAGGTGACATCACAGACACAGAGTGCTACTACCAAAAGTACTCATAGAAAATCCTTAGACAAGAGTGAAAAGCAGGAAGAGCAGCATAATAAACACAACGTATCAAATAACTCACCATCGGACAAAAGCGACAAGCGATTTATACACAGTAACGGGAGTACAGTTTCGCACAGTGACATACAACTCATCGAGAGGGTGGGGTACGGTCGATTTTATATTGAAAGAGAGAGAGCACATTTCTTTTTATTTCAAATACTTATTGGCCCTCAATTCTCAAAGCAGATCTGTAAATGATTTTGACGTAAACGAGGTAGAAAAGGACAAGTCTATCAAGGGTTGCGGGAACACCACGATAAAAGCACAAACGAATGGTTCGGTAACTGGTAAATGGAATAACGTCAAGGAGAGTCGGGATTCATCGTCGACCACCAATGCCCAACGGGAACGTAAGACTCGTCAGGTTAAAAACACGAGCGACCCCACGGCAGAGCAACAGAAACAGCAAGAAGATTATTATCAAAGGTACATGATGCGAGAGGAATTTTTCTTTTGGATACGTTACCATAAGCTGCTACAGAAATTCTGCTAATAATCCCACGTATTTTCGAAGGCACAGATTGAAACTCTAATGACACAAATCCGGTATATCATGTCTCGCACTTAGATAACAAATCCTGTACCGTCTTACATTCCTTCAGTAGACCTCCTATCAGTTTCTTCAGCATGATTTGTCGTTGAAATAGGTTACTGGTGTGTCGCAGGCTCGAGGCGGACATAAAACGTTTGAAATCAGATTTGCAGTCAAGTCGGCAATTGGAACAAGAATTACGATCACAAGTTAATGTCTTGCTCAACGGAGAGCGGCAAGCCAAGGGCGACATTCAACAACTCCAACATGATAACGATCAGTTGCAAAGCAAGTAAGTGTGTTTATGAAGTATTTTTTATCATGGGATTATAACTACGTATTTATACTATATTTGTGAAAAAGAATCTAACCAGTTAGTATTCTTTATAATCTGAAATCACATTTTTAATATTATTTTAACATAATTTTGCATTTCCAAATTTTTATTTTAAAGCTTTTATGTTTTACGCACAAACTATAATGTCTGTACCTTTAGAAATCTGCTGATAATTCTTTTGTTTTTCATTTTACATTGAAAAAATATATGTTTGTTTCCTGTATTTGAATAGGAAAAATGCATTTACAGATCTATGTACGTAAACATTATAAAGCTTTTTTAATAATTTAAATTCTATTTAAATTTAAATATATAATATATTATATGTTATATAATAATTCGTGCCTATTTTACATTTATACGACTTTGACATTTGCTGGAATCATTAATCATTACTTTTTCTTCTACGTATAATATTTGGACAAAAAGTATCACTTGAAAAAGGATATGCAAAAGAGTTGTAAATTCCTTTAATTTTTTCAAAGTAAATCTGAATATACGTAAAAGACTTATCAGACTATAATTTGTAAAGATTCAATAATTAATTATTACTAATTAATAATAGTTATATTTGACATTTATAAAAAGCTTCTTAAATATTAGAGAACTTATCTTCTTTATACCACAATCTTCTTGTAAATCCTCCATAAATTTTTTCATAAAATAACGTAGTATTACTTTTACTGTTAGATAAAGGGAAAAGAGAAAAGAAATTTTTATTACAACTTTTGAATAAAATCAGACGAATCCTCTAACATAAATTGTAACATTGCAGATTACATGGTCTAGTGACGGCGCGTCAACTGGATAAGCAAACAATGACATCGTTGGAAAAGCGAATTGCGGAAGAGCGAAAACAACGTACCGCGTGCGAAGCGTCCTTGCTCTCTGAACGAAGGGCACGACGAGCCGCCGAAGAGGCACGCTCCGCGATTCCACCGCCGCCACCTCCGCTTATTAGACAAGAGTGTACTGACGTATGTAAAAGTCGAAGATCTCAAATGGAACAGGATCTTAAAAATCTGCGCCGAGAACTCAAACTGAAGGAAGAAAGGTAAAGAGTGTAAATCTGTACTGTTTTAGATTTTAAATAATTTAAATGGGACAATGCGCAAATATATACATGTATATGGTACGTTGATTCAGATGTAATGCATTGGAAAACGATGCTGCGCGTTGTAAAGAGACTCACAGAGAGTGCGAAATTCTACTCCCTGCACTCAATGCGTTGCAAGACAAAAATGCACATTTGGAAAACAGCTTGAGCGCGGAAACACGTATAAAACTGGATCTCTTTTCGGCACTCGGCGAAGTCAAGCGGCAACTAGAAATTCGAGAAAGTAAGTAACAGTAATTAAAACAATGCTTTACTCGCGTAGTTTTATTTTTTGTTTTGTTTTCACATTTTAGTATTTGTAGTATACGGTCGAAGGAAGTATATTACAAAGAAAGTGGACATTTGTTAAAGAAAATAGAACCGCATATATTGTAATGCACGTTGTTATTGCCCCAGCACATATCATGTATCATATAATTTCTGTTAAATCAGGCTTAATCAGAACTCAAGAGAAAGAAATTGAGATGTTGAAAACAAAAATAGCGCAAGATTTAGCTGTGATGCCACAAGACACATTTGGTCCAGCGCCAACCTGTGCGACGTCCAAGCTTCGTTTAAATAGTGAAGTGAGAGTAGCAGGAACAAAAATACGTTCGAATGAAAGTCCCTGTCCGGGGTGTACCGTGTCGAATTTGGATCCGAATGCGACAGCGTACACGCCTAAAAGTTCCCTTGTAGCGTCGACTGAAGCTTAAGGAACTGCACTTCTCTCATCAGAACCCGATAGTAGGATACATCAACTACAAAAGAATGTTTCAAGTTTCTCCGTGGAAATATTAATATTCAGTTCACAAGTACGCCAAAATATGGATTTATCGGTATCAGCTGCGGTTCTTTTCTGGTTCATTTCCATCTTTAAGACGAGACATATTTTTATTGTATACGGATCTCCTCCCCCATTGTAAAAGAAGCCTGGAAGTCTTCCATGAGAAACTTGGCGAAACATGTTTTGTATCGTGTCTTGTTTCAAAAAGGAATGGAACCGTTGACATTACTTATGATCACACGACACGGCACTGGTTTCTAGAATGTCAAAGAAAGCCAGTGACAGTCTTAATTTGTAACATTTATGCTGCAGGTTGATCTTACGGATATATATAGTATAACAATTTGTGAACAAAACCAGTGAAACGTAACTATTTCTTTACACATACATAAATATCGATAATAATGCCTAACAATTTAAAAAAATCATATCTGACTGTTAGTTTATGTATAAAATATGTTTTATATTTTATAAGAATAACTCGGAAACTATCTTATATATACACATTTGTATATATCATATGCTTAACGTTATGATATAGATTTTTTTTATACGTGTACGTTTTTGATTACCTCTGATTTATGCGTTAGTAATTCAGATCGATCTTTATGTAGCAAGAAAATAATGACAAATATCTTATAGCGAAGTCACGATGAAAGAGAAGCTGAAAGAGTTATAATATCCGTATTACGGTCTTCCTGCAGTATATGCCTAAACATGCGATGATGACTTGTCGAGGATACATTCTTATTCAAGTCGTATAACACTGAAGCTAGTCCATCATACAAACTATTTAAATATCATTGGCGTGTCGAGCCATTTTATGTTATGCGATCATCATGCAGAAATAGCCATTGACAACATAGAAATATGAGCATCATTCAAGAAGGATCAAAGTAAATGTCACGACGCCAAATTTGTTTTAGGTAATCCGTACGATGATACTCTCACATACACACATGCGCGTATTTCTGTGCTTTTAAATTTTTCATGTTTTTATTAGTTTAAGAATTTCGTTTTATGTGTATTGGCTTTCAAAACGGTATAAAGGGTGGCCATTGCATTTTTCGTTTGAGTAAAAGTAATATATAAATTTCGATTTGATAAGGACGATTGATTCGTAAAATTTGTTAAAGGTAAAAAGATGTTATGGCTAACTTGATCTAAATTAAAAAAATAAGAGTTCAAATGCAAATTAATAATTTTATGACGAGTACAAAGATAGAAAAAGTTATTTTCATGTTGTAAGCTCACTTTATTTAATTAAGAGTGATATTTATTTCATTATTTAGCATTGAAAAAGTTGATGAAACTACATTGTGACTAGATATAAATGTGGATAAAGTTTTTTTTTTTTTTCTTATGTGACGTCCATTAATATAATTTCAGAGTTAAAAAGAGAAGTTTTGTTTTTTCTTTTTTTAATTATTATTCTTAACATATATCTGTATACAATATGCATATATACGTATATGCGTGCTATACGTCATATATATGTATGTGTATGAAAATTATATGCATATGTATATATATGTAATATATGAATGCAGACGTTTATATATATGTATACATATGTGTATGCAAAACATTACACAACTTTGACAAATTATGGCACCATTGAAGGTATGGTACATAATGTTAACACGAGAGATCTGTGTGTTTACTCTTATAAAAATATAATAATTTGTATACGGCGTATATCTGGCGCCAATAATTTTAAATATTCGCGAAAATCGATCTCCATCGTTGATTCACTAATTACATTATTTGAATGGGTGCTATATATTATAATTACTAATTCTGGATTTATGTACCTTTACCTTGAAAATTGATAAAAATTGTTACTTTACTTTAGTTTTAATTGGCTCATGTGGCGTATTTAAAAGAGTTGTTTAAGAATATGTGATGGCATTACGAATGATTAATCAGTTATGATCAAAGATTGTGTGTGTGTGTGTGCGTGTGCGTGTGCGTGTGTGAAATTGATCGAATAATTGATCGACGTTAATAAGGTTGGCGATTTTATTCTACCCGCAAGAAAGCCAGTACTTGCTTCATTACGTTGCATAATGTTGTGTAAACTTGTTAACTATTACGAGGTCATTCTTCCATAATTGTACATACAAAGCACTGTCATGACAATTTACTTATGGACACTAGTAGTGGATCATGACCAACTAGTCAAGCGAAGGGAGGAAGCACAAATATTTATTAGGTATCCAACATTCAAAGTTTTCGCATTCTATGGAAAGAAGAGTACAGAACCCTTTCACTTTACTAAGATTTAGAGAGTTTTTGGACTCGTTTGGATAATGTGAATGCCGAGTCCACGTTTCCCGGATGATCCACGTAAACGGACGACGTTGTAAAGGCTTTCCTGCACAATGTGTATATTATTAAATTTTGAATTTGTCTTCAAAAGAGCAGTGCTAGTTTGTTACTCATAAGAAAGTTACGTAGAAGTTTTCTAATTTGCATACGTTAGCGACGTGTACTCGTGGTACTTCCGTACATGAAAATAAACTCCCCGACGGCTGCTGATTTATGGGGACAGAAGTGGTTAACCGTACGTGCATTTCTATTTCCGAATTGTTGTCCCAGTGTCAAAGATATTACTTATACTTACTTTTGATCTTGCGAATAAAATCGTTAAATAAGTTTCGATTTAGATTTGCGTTTGCTTACACTCGTTTGTACACAGATAATGCAGCGAAGACGATATGGACATGTAAATATTTGCTGGAAAGGAACATTGATACCGCTTCGTAAACACATCGGTTTAAATTGTTGGGGCACTTGCGTGGCATAGTCACTTTTGCTATATAAAAACAAGATCACTTCAATTTACGTTACGACTGTCACGATTGCCGGACTTCATTGGATGTCGGAGGTTTAAATGCGAAAAACGACAAGATTGTCAGCAAAAGGAAGAAGGAAATAAAGTTCAAAGAGACTATCGATTTGTTCCAAAATTCTCGATCGTGAATACGTGTACCTGACCAGGACGTGTGCTGTAGTGGTTCTTTTTCCTTTTCTTTTCGTTTGCTTTTGGCTAATTTACTTATCTTGGATTTGATTCCACCAGAGAGAAGGCTGGCTTGATAAGCAATTAATATTATGCGAGATAATATCGTATACATTGAGTTGTGATATACATAACATACACACACACACACACAAAGAAAACAGACACGCGCAACACATACACACAGATATACACTTACATAATCATCATGTGTAAATATGCATTCGCTTTACATATTTATTTGTGTATACTCGTACGTCGCGTGAACATCGGAATACACGCAGTCGTCTACGCGTATACACATACATATATGTGTACAATTATTTTAGTTACTACATAATGATGTTCTCTTATCATAATAAATTAATAATGCGACAATTAATCGATCGCTAATAGGTAAGTTTCCTATTTCCAAATGCATCGTTTCATTTCGCGCGACAAGAAGACGTGCGTAACCGAGTACTTAATTTTTACGTTAGGTTTCGTTCAGCATTCTCGGATGCATGTGAGAGCGAGGAGCGAGAGATAGACAGAGAGAGAGAGAGAGAGAGAGAAAGATTAGAGACATGCACAAAAGAAAAATCAGGTACTTTTGTAATACCTGCTTCCTAAATAATTTATAAGTTTCCTGATATTACATAGCTAATTTATTAAGTTGGCGAGGACAATAAAAGAGCCTTTTCGTTTTATAATAAGCTTTCGACGTCGAATCTAATCAGCAGTTTCCAGTGGAAAAAAGTGTATCGCGGACGGTTTTTCTTTTTTTTTTTACATTTACTATTAGTTATTAACGTCTTGTGCGCTTCCACAAACACTTAACTGCGTACTTATTGTCATTGCGTAGCGTTAAGTTTACCGTCGCGAGCGACGAGTGTAGCATTAAATGCAACAACAACAACACCGCTATTGATCTCATGTAATCGCGCGACCGTACACGCAAATGCCCTTATTAACGTTGCAAAACCGACACATGCGGGGATCGTCGAATAAAATTTTCAACATATTGTAACGGTTTCTGTTCTTTGGAGATAAAATCAAGTGTGTAACATTTACGCCTAACCGAGGAGAACCATGTGCGTTTTAACGTGCTACATATACATATAAAAATATATATATCATATAAAATGAGGCGGTGTTTAAAAAGGAAAGAGACGAATGGTAAGAATCTGGCTAAAAGAACTCTTTTTACGATTGATCGTAAAAACTCGTGAACCAGTATATATGTACGACACTATCATACATGCGTTTCTACTGTTAATTCGTAATCAAGCTTGAGAATCCTGTTTCGAACGGAATGGCACTTTTGTGGCCGGTGCTATAACAATCTTATATTTATAATGATCCTTCTCTCCTGCAGATTTTCTGTCTATCAGTCGGTCATACAGAATATATTTGACTTTTGTTTTCATATTAAAATATACGCTTTATAAATTTTCCTTTTATCCTTTCGAGATCATGCATTAATTTCCCATTAAAGCAAGATGCGAGAGCATTGAGATTCCTCTTCTTGCGATACCCCGATAGTTTCACAGATGGGAGACACGATTCTTGCCACAATTTTTGTAGATTGACAGCGACGCGTGTGAAACAGCTCTCAGAAATCCATTCCTTTTGTTGCTGAAAAGAGGAAAATTCCGGAGCCGTGTAGAAACGAACGGATGTGCTCGCTGGGAAAGAAATAACTGAAAGTTACTTTCGAATGTATGGACATTCACTCAATATATTGTTATACAAAAAGACCGCAATTTTCAAAAACCCAAGTAGAGAGAGATTATCGATGATATTAATAACGACTTTTTATTGTGTATTACGTTCCGCTACAATTAATCTCTATAGCAATATTTATTAAAATAAACATTGTAAAAACTGATACATATTGCGTGTAATTAATTATATACATCAGCAACATGCATCGATATTGATTAAACTCCGATTTTTTTGGCGACACGATTAACGACGTTACATCTTTATTTGTCGCATTCTGCTTCCATATTTACGTGCACACAGCTTTCCTTTGCACGGCGATTGAAAACAAGAAGAGGAATTTCTGTGATTTACGCGAATTGCTTATGTCGATGCTGACACTGGCGACACGATCCGGCATTATCGACTTATTTTGGATAAACGTTATTTCGTTTAATGAAAGTGGGCGAATTCTTGTAGATGATAGTAGTAAAGGCAACAGTTCAAGTCTGTAGAAGTCGGTCTTCTGAATTACGTCAATCTGACGACGGTTTCTCTTTTATAAACAGAATTGAATGCATTCAATGTGTAATAGTAACTACAGAGCAATATAAGGAGCAAGCGCGTTACCTGGCAATATCATACAGAACACAGCAATACGAAACTTGATTTTAACGGGTAATATGTTATGATTGAAGCACAGTTGTATGTACTTTGCAGGTTCCTATTAGTCTTGGAGACAATGGTTTACTTTGCTCTCAGATACGAAAGTGTACCGATTATCACAAATCTAAAGAAATCTGTACTACGCAACGCGATTGTGACCGAATTTTTAATAAACCAAGAATGCATATTAAACAGACACGTATACGTCTATATGTCATATAAGTTTTTTTTCTCATGTTCCAGAAATACTTTACTGCTCTCTACTAAATGTGTCAATGCATCGTATACAAATACAAACGAATAAAAAGGTTTAAAAGCGACAAGAGAACTTATAATTCGTGAAGTGTATTATTTTCGCCCTTGCCAATCTATATTACACTACTCTTCACGCAAGCTACTTTTACGTAAATGTTTCTTATGCGAATAGGACGTCTCTGAATTTCCAATTACTTCTAATTTTCAAAGTTTTTTATTACAACCGTATTGAATAGCATCAAAATCGATCTTGCTCTTATCAGAACAAAATGTTATCTCAACTATTGACTACAATAACAAAACGTGAATATTAAAAATTTGACAATATACATTGCATTCAAAGTAAATCTTTTTGTATTATAATATAAAAAATGATTATATGTAAGATACTTCTTAATCTTTCATGTTTTCTTAATTTACAATTTTTTATTGTAAATAATTTGAGATCTACGATTCTAAGATATTTTATTAAAAGATTTGTCTCTACACTAAAGATCATTTGTAATTAACAACATTGTATGCTGTGCAATCGTTGTTTCTTTATTTCAAATCGTAAATAAAAAACATATCAATTTCTTGTCGTGTGGCAGACAAACGTAAAGTGGAATTCACGTTCTTTCCAAGTAAAACAGTCTTATTTACGCTATACTTATTTACAATCTATCGCGTTTCATGTCGATGTCTGTAGGGCTCCGTGTGACTTAAACTTCTCGTAAAGCGGACTGTCTTTAAACACTACATACGAAAGTACCGCTTTCGTATAATAGTCCGACATCAGCTCCAAGTTTCTTATAACTGTTGAGAGAAGATGCGCCTTTTCCACATATATTCCTAGATAAAGAAGAGAAATCCTAGTTAGAAATACCATTCTCAAATTATCCATAAAACATTTCCATTCCGTCGGTTACTTTTGTAGTTTTATACCAATTTACCTGGCGCCTCAAACATAAGATAGCAGAAATGCACGTGTAGATAATAATAAGATGGTTGATAGTGGAAATATATTCTGAGCTGCGATGCAGGTATGTTGAACTTTTTACTAATCGCCGCCGTCCCGGCATCTTGTATATTTTTTAATAAAGGAAGATGAGACCCGTTCAACTCTCTCAACGACCGTATCTTCTGAAACGGCAGGGCCAACAACTTCAATGTATCTGTCTGTCCGTTCCATTTGAAATCCGTCACTAATACAAAACCACTATCCTTGTCAGGGTCTTCGTAAATAACACTCTCCTGTTCAGCTTTGTGCTCCAGAATATTAGTTATCCACTGAAAATCAAGAGTAACGATACGGGAATAAAACAGTCCTTGCACTCTCTGTGATTTTCAAGTAAAAGTTACACCAAGTACGAATCAACGTTGTATCTCAAATATAAACTGTACCTCCAAGCTCAGACTCTTCGATTCTATGTAAGGGAGAGTGACCTGCTGATAAAGCTCATAGGTCTCGTTTATCACGTACAACTCCTGCCTCTTGTACTTGTCGATATGCGTTTGCGTGGCTGGATATATCACAGTCGCGTGCAGACCTTAAAGAATAAGAATTCGCTTATGAAATGGCGACCAAGTACGTCAAGGTACGTGAAAAAAAAACAGATGCAGGCAGATCGATGTACTGTTATGCTCTTCGGTCGGAAAGCAATTGTAGTTTCTGTAGATGTCATTGTTGAAGACCTTTCGGAATATCGTCTTCCCGTCAAAGAAATCCTTCTCCAGTACCACCTTGTCGTAAGGGAAGGTCCTCTGCTCGAGGAGAACGATCGCCGGGCCCTCGCGGTCCTCGAACGTCCCCTCCATGCATATCAACTTCCGCGCGCAGTTGTTCTGCAGCACTTTCGTCACTTTGAAGCTCGACACATCCAGCTCGCGCTCACCCGTCTCGTTCTCGTCCGGGGTCTTCTCGACCACGTCGGCGCTCCCGTCGCCCAGCTTGACTCTCTTCGCCGGCGGACAGTCCCCGTCGTTCGCACTCGCACATTTCTCCGCCATGCTCGTCACGTCAAGAATCCTGAAAGTAGGATCGAAACATTCTGTCAAACGCGAGACGTCGATGCGTACCTTTTGTCGTAACAAAAATGTAGAAAGACCGAGCTCAGCGTCAATTGATTCGAGTTAATAGAACAGCGTTAAGATCTTTTTCTTCATACTATTCGTTCGTTGTGTAACAATACGTGGAGTAAGCGTGGAGTAAGGAGTAAGGGAGAGCCCTAACTTCTAGCTTTTGGTGTAAGGCAGCTGAAGTACGGGCATAATTTTTAAAATATTTGTAACACTGATTGATGGCATTTTGATTCACCGAGAGTAAGGCTGATGGCAGAGAACAATCCGTAAACGCTTAAGACTGTCTCAGTCGTAGACGTAGGGCAAGGCAGAGAGAAACGTAAGTCGTATACAATAGCCTTTCACGACTCACGTTTCTCTCTGCCTTGCCCTACGTCTACGACTAAGCCAGTCTTAAGCGTTTACGGATCGTTCTCTGCCACCAGCTTAAGCCTAAGAGCTGAAGTAGGAGTAAGAAATAAAATGGATTTATTTCCTTACTCCAGCTTACTCCATGTATTGTAGACCAGCCTTTAGACGGAGACATTTTCACTCTAGTGTAAGATACAGACTTGACCCCTAGGCCGTAGTCGAATCTCGTAGCGACGATGCTCCTAGTCGTGAATGAAATCAGACGGCCGTGTGAAAGGTGAGAGGTGCCCGCGACGATCCTGTTCGTACCTCGTACGTGTCTCTCTTGGCGCAGCTTCCACGATCGAGCCGGTATAAACACAACAAGTCGATCGCCAAGTGCGCGGGGGGGAGATAAGAAGTGTAATAACTCTATTGAGGCCGGTTGCGCGGCCCATGAGAATACAGGCTACGTAGACGCGAACGTAATGATGTAATTCTTGACTCCCGGCTCGAACCCGGAGCCGGCACGGGAACGCAATGATGACGCAGTGAAACACGTCGTTTGAGTTTGTTCTTTGTAGCGTTGCATGTTTCTACGTTGCTCTCGCGTCCCTCTCTTCCTCCCCAAATTGCACGTTCGAGTGCAGGAAACGTAGCGGCTGCAAAGAGCAGAGTTTTCGTTAATGTCGGAAGAAATCTCTTTCTTCCAGTCGTAAACGTACGAATCTGGACGCAGCCCAAGGTGCTCCCGCCATTTTATACGCGATACTATTGCGAACCACATTTTTATTTTACGCTTAATTAAATTCTTAAAACTACTATTACCTCAGCTTCAATTGCTTCGCGAGTTTAACACTGTAGCTTCATGTAAACATCATCGATTGATCGGGTTCGGTATCCGAGAAGTAGTTTTAGCACGAAACGAAGGTTGGACTTAAAAAATTCAAGTGAAAATCATATTAAAGACTTGTAATAAAATATTCTTTCTAAGATTATACGTACACATGTAGATGTAAATACATACGTATATGCCGAATTCACGCGTACGTAGATAAAGTTTATATAACGGGATGCACAATGATATTTGCAACAAAGTTTTCCCTTACAGTTTTCCGATAGGATTGTCGGATCGGGATTTATTTGAGAAAAACTCACTTTCTCGTTAGCGCTTGCGAACCCGTAGCTACGTATATAAGACTCGAGCAACGTATCGCCGCCGTGTAGTATGAAAGGAGAGAAGTTTAGCACTCCCCTAGACAAGGATGGATACACATGTACTGGTAAGGCACTGTCGTCAGATGGCGGCACTTACCACAACATTTTTTTTCCTCGCGCTTTCCTTATCGGAGAAATACCGTCGACATTTTTGCACAAGTCGACAATCGCTTTCCATTTGGAATTTAATTCGAACGCGATCGACGGCTACTGCTGGAGGAGAAGTGCGTTTCGGACCGAAGAAACACGCATCCCGAGTATTTCGATGGAATCTTTTCTCAACGAAATATAATTTTTTTTAAATCTTTCCCACTTCACGGTGGCGAACCGTGCCCGAGTGCGTTAACTCGTGTCGATTTGTGTCTCCTGAGGCCCGGTTTCACCGACGTTTAACTTCAAGCTTAGCTTAATTCGCTCTTTGCCTCTTTCCAACGGTTACTTTAGAGACAAACGTGAATTAAGCCAAGATTAATGTTAAACGACGTTCGGCGAAATCGGGCCTAAAAGAAAAGCAGCCTACGTTAACTCATACAGCACGCATGTCTAAGACATCTTTAAGACGTCTTTAAGTCGTCTTTTAGGCATACATATCTAAAAGACGACTTATACCCGTTTCTACCAACGCAGTTTAACTTTAATCTCGGTTCAACTTGCTTTGTATCTTTCTCTAGTTTTACGACTTGGAAAAGGACAAGAAGTAATTTAAGCTGAGATTAAAGTTAATCTGCATTGAAACGGGCATTACGTTACGTAAATTATAGATTTTTCAGTACATAGTTTATGCTCCCAGTGGGAGAAAACGAGCGCAGGCAAAATTTCCTTAAAACGTTTCACCCTTTTTTTTCAACGTTCCGTTTAAGCGTGCGCCGACTTGAATTCAACGCAACTGTCCACGTGACCGCGGGGCTTTTAAAATTCGTCCGTGGTCGACGTTGCGCGATACGTGTCGCGGAAAGTAAACTTTTCTTCAAAAGATTGGGGGCCTGGCGTCGCCTCGCGTATTCCGCCTTCCTCCTCGCCACTTCCGGCGCTGCCTGTAATTCGTATCGGTCAGTGATCAGCTTGCATTAATTATTCCGATGTATCAAGACCGTATTTGAATACGCACGCCACGTGTGACGTAAACGGGGCCGCGGGGCGGCGCCGTCGGTAAAATCAGCGCCCTGCAACGCCGCTTACCGACCGCGGGGACACGTCACGCGAGCCGGCGTGGCCCTCGGGTGCCTCCTCGTACGCGCGAGGTAAAAATATGGATTCTTTCGCAACCGCACGGAAGATTTTGCACGGTGCTTAGGTGGGCCACGTGATCCCGCGGTTCGGGAGCGATCGGGCTCGATCCAGGTCCTCGATCGCCGTCGTGACCTTCGCCGTGGCTTAAAGGGCACCGTCAACCGTCCCCGACGCAATCTCAATCAGCGACGATGTTGCAGGTCGACGACAGAAAGGTAAAGCCTCGAATTCCCCCTCGAGTGTCTTCCACAAACGTCGGTTAACTTAACTAACCAAGGGTTGATCGATCCCTCTGTCTCTTCTTAGACAATAAAGTAGAAAGAGATAGCGAGTCGACTGAACTCCGGTCGACGGTTAACCGACGTTTGCGAAACCGGGCCCTTCGTCTCCGCCGCGTTGCTCGCCAGTTCCTTCCGACGTCGCGCGTCTCTCTCTTGTTTCACCTGTCACCAAGGGCAGAGCCGAGGGTTGTGAGAGGGAACCATGGTCCGATGTCACCACCGGAAATCCCTCTCCCGCGAACGATCAGCGAGAGAGGGACTTCCTACTTCCTCTCCTTCGTCCTCGACCGCCGAGAGCGTCGCCCGCCCGTTGAGGTTATGCTCGACGTTTCAGCTAGACGGGCGGCTTCCCAGGGAGAATGGAAAAGTCAAAATAACGTCACTTGGGTGTCGTACTGACCAAACGGTGACCGGAGCGCGACGTAAACTCGGTCAACGCGATGACATCGGATTAACATTATTTTGATTTTCCTGCTCTCGAGCTCCGTCGTCTTCTAGGCCGACCCTAAAGCCCGTATCAGACTACGGATTGAGATTGAGATTAGACTGACATTTGACCAATTACGAGTAAAAGTTAAGCCCGTATCAGACTACGGATTGAGATTGGGATTAGATTGAAATTTGACCAATCAGAGTAAAAGTTATTCAACTTGAGATTAGTAAACTTTACTGTGATTGGTTAAATTTCAATCTAATTCCAATTAATCCCAATCCGTAGTCTGATACGGGCTTAAGGCCTGTTCTACAATACGTCGTGTGTATTTCTTTTCTCTCCCGAGTATTTCTTTTCTCCTGCTATCTTTACTGAAAGAAAGGAGAATAATACTTGGAAACATTTGAAGCGACAAGCTGACCGCAGCCGCTGTCGGGGGTCTGGAGCTCCCTAGTACACGTACTAGACTGCACGCGTAATCCGTGTATTTAACCATTTTAACCCGTGTACACGAATTTAAGGGATCTTCGTTTACGTGAATCCGTGAACACGTGAATGTGACACGTGTCCGTGTATATGATATGTGTAGACAGCCGTGTACACCCCGGTAGGGAAATATTTCGAGAATTATGTGACGGAATCTGGATGAAACTTGGAATGCTGGAATTATGCGTACATATTATTATTATTGGTTTCATTATTTACGCGTATACACGGATATTGCGTCACAAGCACACGTATCACGTGCACAGGTACACGTAAATAAAGGTACCTTGTAAACGTATCCAGTTACAGTTACAATTTTTTTTTCGCTAAAAATGTAACTAGTTACAGTTACCAATTCTGAAAAGTACCTAACGCGTTACAGTTACTAAAAAAAAGCAACGAATCGTTACCGTGCAGTTACTTCCTTGCAGTGAAAATAAACATATCAAATCTGCATTTGAATTGTAAAGCGTCGATAAAGGCGATGATTTATACGGAAGTGCAAGGCCTAATGCAATCTGTGGAGGTTTAAAAAAATAAAGTAACTATTAATGTAACTAATTAAATTAGTTACTAGTTATCGAAAAAATGTAACTGAGTTAAGTTACAGTTACAGATGGAGAGAAAGTAACGCAGTTAAGTTAGTTTCTGTATCTGCAACGTTTACTGTAACTGTAACTTCGTTACAAGTAACGAGTCACTTCCCAACCCTGCTTAAATCACGGATTACGTGCACACGTGAATCTTAAGCCTTGTGTCCACGATTCAAGAACTGTAT